CCCCCCAGGGAGCATTCTGGCTGTACCTCTTCCAAGACATACCTGTGTGTTCTTTTTTTTTTTCTGCAGTCCAAGGGATCTTCATCAGTCTTCTACATCACAGTTCAAAGGCACAAGTTCTTTTGTCATCCTTACTCATTCTCCAGCTCTTAGATGCATGGCAAGTGACTGAAAAACCATGGCCTGAATCAAGGGCACTTTAGTCTTCCAACTTGCATCATCACTCCTCAATAATTTGGAGAGGTTCCTAACTGCAGACTTTCCCAATGCAATACATCTCAGCAATAATAAAACATCTTGAAATTGGAAATTCAGTAATAGGAATATAAAGTTATAGAGCCAAGTCCTTGATTTATACAATATAATAAGTACTACCTTTTTTGGTTCACTCCCATACTATTGAGCTATAGTTTCACAAGCTTCAGATACCTTGAGAATGCCTTTCTACACCCTAAAATTAAGTAGCACTCCATATTTTGCCTTCTATCTGACTTTCCTTCAGACGATGTATAACACTTAGAGGAAATCATTTGGTTAATGTAGATGCTTCCTTTAGATCAAACTGCCTTTAGGGTAGTTGACACTACTGGGTCCCTGATGCTCATCATAATAACCAGCATAAACCAAGTGCTCAATTAACAATTGTTGAATTAAAGACCAAACTTCATCTTTCTATTTAATCTGAAAATTTAGTGAAGAAGGAGATTTGGACAAAATTTTATAAAGTTTCTTCTGATTCTAACATTAATGTTTGTGTATAAGAGTCTTTTAACACCCTAGGTTTGCACCAATTTTATAGGTTAATGGTCCTCATGCTAAATATCTTTATTATAATTTTTAATTATGTAATGTTTCAAATCAAACTAAACAAACAAGTTCATCCTAGAGAGGGTGAAACTAGACTGCTCCTTGGAGGTAAAGATTCTGAAGCTTCATCTGACATATTTTGGGCATGTTATAAGGAGAGGCCTGTCCTCATGGAGGGACATCATGAGTGGGAGTGTGGAGGGACAGCGCAAAAGAGGAAGGCCGTTAATGAGATGGATTGACTCAGTGACAGGGGTAATGGGGGTAGGTGTGTCAGAGACAATAAGGTTGGCACAGGACAGAGCAGGGTTCAGAGCTGTTGTATAATAGGAGTGCTCTGAGTTGCAGGCAACGCAATATTACATAACAACAGCAACATTTCAAACTTAGGAAAAAATATAATAAGAAACGTATTAAGAAGCCTATGCACCTATCAATTGTTAACATTTTGCTACATTACTTTAATTTTTTTTAAATATTACAGACATAGTAAAAAATAATCCTCTTAGAAGTCTATCAAATACTTCTTGCCTTTTCCAATGTTAATATAGGAACAAAGATAAATCTTCAAATGACGGGAAGTGAAAATATCAGGTCCCTAAGAATAAATATGAGAATAACCAACTACTATCAAATTGGATTCCCCATTGGATTACTATGGCTGTAACCTTTATAGAGAGATAATGCCTGTCTGTCTATCTAGGGGCAGCTGGTGGATTAAAACTGCTCATATTTTTGTTAGCAATGCAATATGTAATATACTAGCCCTCTAGAACTCCTTAAAATAAATCTAGAAACAGTATCATTTAGGTGTACTTTTTTAAGGACTATAAAAGTAATTATGTTAATTTGTGTAAAAATGTACATGTTGTTAAAAAATAAAGTATGGTAAAAGAGAAATTACATTGTTTTTAAAACAATTACTCCAATAGGTTAGTATAGGGCTGAATTTGCCCATTAAGAACTCATAAATATGAGTTTGATTAATATCAAAGGTCAGTAGATTTTTATTACTTAGGGAGCTTTGGTAGCCATAGGCCTTCGGGACTTGTGCTCCCAGACCAAAGGTTGTGTGCCTTTCTGGCTACTCAGATTCTCCGGAAGCTCCTCAGGGGTGGTTGTTGATGTTGTTAGGTGCTATCGAGTGAAAACTACCCCTAGCCACCCTATGAACAACAGCTCTGAATCTGGTCCTATCCTGTGCCATGTCACCATCTCTTAATATTACTCAAGCCCATTGCTACACTCAGAGATAAGATGAGAAATTTCTTCCTGTGTGATTTACAGCCTTGGAAACTCAATGAAGGGAGAGGAATGAGGTGGTTCTGACTTGACAGTGATGAGTTCTTGAATGGGTTTTATTGTCTGGCAACAGTTAGCTCTACCCCCGCCCCCTTTTTATTATTATTAATTTCAATGAGAATTTACAGAGATTTTGGATTTCCATTCATCCATTTTTGCGCTTTCCTCCCCTCCTCCCCCTCCCACCAGTACACTTCCCCCCTTAGAAAAGTAAAAGAAAAATTCTTTCATTAGTTTACAATCCCTCATCCCAGGTCCACTCCAATATGCAGCCTTCGCTCTGGACTCTCGTCATGACAAAAATACCTAATCACAGATCCCTTTTAAACAGTTTTCTCCCTCATCTGTTTCAATACAGTATACATTATTGAACTCATCTTTCTCAGTCTCTTCCCAACCCTGATGTCAGTCCTGTTTTACACCAGTGTTACCGTGTAGTATTTGTCCTTTTGTGACTGAGATATTTCACTTAGCATAATATCCTCCAGGCTCACCCATTTTGAATAATATTGCATGAGTTCCTTGTTTTTCAAGGCAGAGTAGTATTCCATTGTGTGAATATACCACAGCTTCTCTATCCATTCATTTGTTGATGGCACTTAGGTTGTTTCCAGCTCCTTGGTATTGTGCACAAAGCCGCGATAAACATGGGTGTTCATAACAGTTAGCTCTTGACTAGTTTCATGGAGGCTTTCATAGAGCTCTCATTAAGCTACTTTAAATCATATATGTGTAGGATGTTAGAAATGGGGGCTTTCAGTATTAATCACAGTGCCTGACTTTTGCTTTGAACTTGTGCAATTTGCTGAGGATTCTCACTCATTTTTTTCTTCAAATTTGAGATACATGTTTTAATTAATTTGTGAGATGTAAAGTGACTATTAATGACACATGGAATAGAAAGCAGAATTGAAATCTTAATTTTTTTAACCCTAATTCTAATAAAATAGTCACTACGATTATTGTTTTGGACAAGTCTTTTCTGTTATGGAATTCATGACTAGAGTGTGTATTATAAGTCTCCTAACTGTAAAATACAAATGAAAATACCTTTTCTGCTGATGTTTTTCATAAAAATGGGCCTTCAACTGGCCCAAGACACTGCCTTTGTTTGTAATCATTGCCCTAGTATTGGGACCAACTCAGAGTCAGTCCTGCACTGGGTGTCTGAGGCTAATAATTGTAAGGTGGGAGACTGCCCATCCTTTTCCCTCAGAGGGGCTAGTGTATTTGACCTACCAGAGACACATGGCCTTTGGGTTAACAGCTCAGTTCCCTAGGGAATAGGTCTACCAGCATCAAGTATCAGATTAGAATTTACAACACATTATTTTAGAGTACCCAATTCAGTCGAAAACATTAGGAATTACTATATAGCTCTTAACTAATAGGATCAGATGGAAATGAATTTTCTATTGATGTTATTAGTGAAAATGAGTTCTTAAACCTGGCCTGAGACAATGCCTTTGTTTGTAAAGTCATTAGTTAAAAGCTTAAGAGCAAATATATCTATTTAAATTTAAGTCAATGTTTTCCAACTAGAATTTTATTTCTGTGACTGGCTTTTGGCATGTTTTCTATTTCTGCAAGCAATGTAAAATCCTTTTGCTGTGTTTAATCCTTGCCTGTGGGCATGGAGAGGTGACTATGCAATCCACCTCTGGCATTGGGAAATTATTAACTGAAAATTTCAGAGGACTGAAGGACTCTTGAGAGACAAAGATTATTTAAGTAAAGATTATATTTCAAAATATATAAATCAGTACTTTTTAAAAAGCTCCCTTTGGTTGATTATTTGATTTTATTCAGAGCTGGGTTGGAACATATCAATAATATACCCCTTTGCCATTCTGGCTCCTGCTTCTCACTATCTGCCTTGGAAAGATGTTGCTGCCAACTTATGATTATCACCTGTGTATGTGTGTGCATGTGTTTACTTTTGTTTGGGTAAGTGTTACTATGTGTCCCAGGCTTGGATAGTGATTTTAGTGCCTGGGTGGTTTTACCCCAGCATAGGTATGAGGAGGAGTGCAATAATGGGTCATGGACTCAGGTCATAAGGTTTAATAGGATGTGAGAATTAGATGGTAGACTTTCCACTCTAGTTCAAAGTTGGGAAGAGGAACTTCAATCTATGGTGACCTTATCCTTATGAGAGTAGAGTTATACCCCATAGAATTCTTACTCAATCACTTCAATGGCTCATTGACTTTGTTTCATTAGGATATTCCATTTCCATGCATGTGTAGGGCAAAAGTAATATTAACGGCACCTTTTGACTTTCACATTCTCTTCCATTATGATATTGGGAGACTGATGCAGTAATTTGGCAGAACTTTTTGTCATTCTATGGCTGATGGAGGTTAGACCAAATCCTTCATTCTCTGCCAGAAATTTTTTAGAAAAAAACAAAACCTTCCATATATGCTAATTCTTATTAATCTCTCTGCATAACTGTAAAGGCAAGGCTAATAATACTTTTTTAAGCAGAAAATGATATTTGTTGTTTTTTGTTTAATATCACCCAAATGTGAGGATACTGGACTTTCATTTAGTTTCTGTTAAACTATGAAACTGCTGTGGTATCAACCATTGAAACTCCTCCAAGCTTTGATTTCTTTTTCCCAGAGAGAAGTAAACAGGAACTTGAGGCATAATGTGTATTATTAAATGTGAAACCTTTTGTTAACAGTGGCAAAATACTAATTTGATCTATAATGTAGTTAACCATAAAGAGATTACTGATGAGTTGACACTAAAAGCCAATGGTAAGCATGCAACTGTAAAAGTATGAAAAGTGGGTGTATGTTGTCCGTTCTGATTGGATTCTAACAGTTGTATATGCTATTGGTTCTTCTCTTCCCTTTGCCACTGGCCCCTTCTCCGCACAGTATTCCACCGAACTGAAGAAGCTGTACTGCCAGATTGCAAAGACATGCCCCATCCAGATCAAGGTGATGACCCCACCTCCGCAGGGCGCTGTCATCCGAGCCATGCCTGTCTACAAAAAAGCCGAGCATGTCACTGAGGTGGTGAAGCGCTGCCCCAACCATGAGCTCAGCCGGGAATTCAATGAGGGTAAGGACAATCGGAATCTGTAGCTGCTGTTCAATTAAGTGTCTTAAAAAAGAGCAGTCCAAGGGAACTCTCGTAGCCAAGTGGCAAGAAGCTGCACTGCAATCCCAGAGGCTCACAGTTTGAATCCACCAGATGCTCTGCTGGAGGAGGGGCAATCTCCTCCTGTACCAGTCAGATCTGATTTGATGGTACACACACAAAAAATTAATAAAATATTTAAAAAAATTTTTTAAAAAGCGATTCTGTGAGAAGTTTGTGTAAAACCTACATTCCTGATTCCAAAGGAGTCCTGGTAGGGCAGTGCATTACATATTGGGCTACCAATCAAAAGGTTGTCAGTTTGAAAACACCAACCGTCTCACAGAAAAAAAGATGGTCGGTGTCTTCCCATTTATAGGTTATAGGTAGATTTATAGGTCTGAAACCTCATGAAGGGTTGCCACACATTGGTATCCGCTTGACAGAAGTGTGTTTGGCTTTTATGACACCCAGTGCAGACTTCTACAACCTGAAGGAAGACATCCTGGTCTACCATTTTTGCTGTTGTTATTTGAGAATCATATTAAATAAATGTGTAGCTGTCCAAATGATCAGGTCATTTTTTTTTCCAGTTTAGTAATTGCTAGATGACCTAGAATCATCCCCCCGCTGGTCCCATTATTACTGCAGTTGCTATTATTTTTATTATTATTGTAATGAGAGGACAGAAACAGGAGATGTGGTCACTGCTCTTTGAGCCTGTGCTAGAGCATTCTTCAGCTTTAATGAATTTCCCAAGAAGGTTTTCGAAGTTAAATTATTATAGAACTGGAAGAGTATGAAGGAGCATAAATTAACAAGAGTAATGGAAAAGAGGACAAGGAAAGGAAAGGAATACAGGACAAAAAAGGTATTAGGAAGAAAAAACGGATTGTTGTTGTTATGTGCCGTTGAGTCGCCTGTGACTCATAGCGACTCTATGTACAACAGCCCTAAACTCTGCTCTATCTTGTGCCAATCCCACTGCCTCTGACACACCCATCCTGATTATCCCAGTCACTGAATCAATCCACCTCATAGAGGGTCTTCCCCTCCTGTGCTGTCCCTCTACCTTCCCAAGCATGATGTCCCTCTCCAAGGACCGGTCCCTCCTTACAACATGTCCAAAGTATGTCGAAGCCTTGCCTCCAAGGAGTAAACTGGTTTAACCCTCTCCAGGATGAGTCTGTCTGTTTTCTTGGCAGTCTATGGAGTAAAAGGAAGATTTAGGAGACTAGAGAGAAGCTGTGCAGAGTCGGGGTAAAGTGTGCAAAGTGAAGACCAGCAGTCAGAAGAGCAAACATTTCTTTCTCATAAATTACCATTTATTTTTTTAGGTTCTGAATTCATGGACACATTTTCTTAACTATTATCTTCTTCAGCCATCTTAACCTTAGCAAATTTCTGACCCTTAGATTCAACATCAGTTTTACAGAAGAGGTCATTATTTCATAATGGTCTCTTAAATCTGATATTCCAATGATTCTGTAAAAAGGGTGAAGCCATGAAAGGATGGGAGACAGGATTCATTATGTAGTAGCGGTAGTAGTGATAACTTGGGAATTAAGATACTTTGTAAATAAGACAGACTAGTAAATGCAGGACATGGGGAGAATGAGGGCTGAGCTTTAAAAATGAAAAGGTTGTTGGGAAGAGTATGTGGAAAAAAAAAAAGAAAATATATTCTATGTAAGAGGAAGTAAAAATGCTTTTACATTAATAGAATACTATTTTAATCATTGATTTCTACTCTACCAAGCATAAATTTGTATCTTGCTTTTGACCTACTGTTATACCATAAAGTTTTCTCCATGTAACTAAAATTTGCCCTGATTTTATACAACTTCCTGTATTTTATCAGGGTGACATAACTGTTTGTTTTTAATGACATCTCATTGTTTGACAGGAATATACTATGCTGTAGAGAACATCTTGACACACTTAGCTCTTGACTATTTTTGAATCATTTTCTCAGAGTAGGGATGTCAGCAATGGTTAAGAACATCTTTATGGTTCCCTGTTTGCAGTTTTGAAGCTCTGCCAAGTGTCATAGTTTAATGAAACTTCACCTAGACTATTTTAGAACGTGTTTTACTTAGGTCCCCCAACCAAAAGAATCTTTCAGCACAACAAAACAAGCCAGTGTTTTATTCAAACTGATGTTTTAACTTGAGCTTTTTCCTCTCAACTCTCAGGAAAACTCACAAAATTCTCTCAATGGCGTGAGATGTAGATGTTGTTCCTAGAGACCATCAGGTCCGTTCTGACTCAAAACACAACAATGTGCAAGAGAACAAAATGCTACCTTGGTCTAGGTGGTGGTGGTTCTGTGCTGTCAAATTAGAACCAACTCATAAGTGACCCTCCAGTGGCTTTTCAGAGGCAGTAAATTGTATGGGAAAAGATTGCCTGTCCTTCTCCTGTGGGGTAGCTGGTGAATTCTAACTGTTGTGCCTTTAAGATTATCGTACAGCTTCTTACCACTAGGCCACCAGAGTTTCCATGTAGGTCTACAGTTTTGTGAAAGATTAGATTACCTTACATACCCAAAACATAAGAATGAGCCCTTGGATATTCCAGTCCTTTCAATTATTATAAAAGTTGAGATATGTTCATGTATTAGATATCTGGCAACAGGTTCTGTCTTTTTTTCCAAGGATATATATTTCCATACATACACTGGACTTCTTATGAGATGGTACTCCTTGGAGAAGGACATCTTGCTTGAAAAGGTGGAGGGTTAACAAAAAAGAGGAAGACCTTCAATGAAATGAATTGTCACCATGATTGTAGCAATAGGCTCAAGTGTGTCAGAGACAATGAGGATGGCACAGGATGTGACAGGGTTCAGATCTGTTGTTCAGAGTCACTGTAAGTAGTACTTGAGTAGAGGGCACCTAACAACAAAAACAACATCAACGAAAATATATTTCCTTTATTATGCAAACCATGTCTGGTTACCACTAACACTTTGAGCATCCTATTTTCTCTTTATTGTCTTTGTTTTCAAAGTCAGAATCTAATTCTTTCTTTATTTTTGTTCTACAGGACAGATCGCACCCCCTAGTCATTTGATTCGGGTGGAAGGAAACAGCCATGCCCAATACGTAGAAGACCCCATCACAGGAAGACAGAGTGTGCTGGTCCCATATGAACCACCCCAGGTAAAAAGATAAGGACTGGACAGATTGGAGAGTGTATTTTTCAGTAGGAGGGAGTCATTTTCTAGCCAAAATTTTTTTTAGAGACAAGGATGGTGATGCTTATCTCACATACTGAGAGTATATTCTTAGAAGGGGCTATTCCTTGGATGGGACATCATGCTTGGAAAGGTGGAGCATTAGCAAGAGAAAGTATAACACTCAATGAGATGGTGTAACAGTAACTGCAGCCATGGGCTCAAGTATGTGACAGCTGGTGAGGACAGCACAGGATAGGACAAGGTTCAGATCTGTTGTTCATAGTGTTGCTCTGAGTCATATTGGACGCAAGGATACCTAACAACATCATGTCAGCTCTTCTCTATTTTTTCTCTATTTGTCTCTTATCCATCTCCTTCAAGACTCCTAAATTTGTTCCAAATTAACTTGGTAACATGACTGTTCCCACATCCCTCTTTTGAAGGCAGATGATAATTGAATTGACAACTGGATTTACACATGCTTTTGTGTTATCTAAGCAGTTCGGCTGACAGCTAGAGATTAAGGTGGGCATTAATGGGAGACACAAGGCTGCTTATGTTCAACTGCAGATGGGGGAACATGAGAGGAATATCTTAGCTGATGTTTTAGTATGCAGGTGGCAGATTTGTAAAGCAGAGCAGTGCAGTGGGAAGAACACTAAAGTCGTAAGACCAGAAGCCTTTGCCTTGTCAGCTGGCAGTGTGGATATTTGGCATATGGACTTCTTTCTGGGCTTCAATTGCATCCTTCAGACTAGAGGATATGATTTTCAATTTTTTTTTCTTGAGATGCAGGATGCTATTAATGAGAGTGTGCATTTGTACCTATGTTATGTTGTGTGATACAAATGGTGAAGTATTCATGCTGAATGTCGGTGCTGTTATTTTTGGTCATTTTTCAGCTTGTCTTTTTAAGGCATCTTCAAGTTTGGGGTATAGCCTGTTGAACTGGGGTGATGATGTCCATGAACAGGATCACAGTCATTTCATCTTAAAGGCTACCTCGTGTAACACAGTGTCAGATTGTGCAAAACTTAACTTTAAGTGCACCCAGAGGAAAGGCAACGAGGGAGCCAGAACAGTTTCCAAGCTTGCCTTGCCTGTAAGAGCACTTGGTTGTTCATTGTTGTGTACCATCGAGTGGGGTAGATCTATCCATAGCTTAGCCTCCAGCAGGTTTTGGAGGCAGTAAATCTCATGGAAGGAGAATGTTATTGGATTCAAACCCTATACCTTTGGAATTGTCATGGAGTTTCTGATGACTAGGCCATCTGAGCTCACTAGCACTTGGTTAGAAGTGGAAATATTTAAATAAAGGAAAGAACTTAGAAGGAAACTCATCAATTCAAACCCCGGTTAACAGAATCTTGCCCCCCTCCCCTTGTGTTCAGGTTGGCACTGAATTCACCACAGTCTTGTACAATTTCATGTGTAATAGCAGTTGTGTTGGAGGGATGAACCGCCGTCCAATTTTAATCATCGTTACTCTGGAAACCAGAGAGTAAGTGACATTTACAGATCTGTCATTCACCAGAAAGGCTGGGCAGAGGGCAAAGAGAGGTGGTTTTAGCCGCCCCACTAACTGCATGCACTGTAGGGAGGTACTCTGTTCTTTGTCCTTTGTATTGTAAATCTCCGCTGCAAATACTTACATAAAAGATCTAAGAGAGTGGAGGCAGAGGAGGGTGGGTGAGAGGGGAAGCAAGGACCTGGAAGGTGTGCAAATTGCTTCATACCTGAATTCTTGACATTTGACTGGAATTGTTTCTGATTAAGCAGTGTTTGTTTTCATGTGGCCCCCCAGGCATTTAACAGTTTCTTTGAATAAGCCTGGGCTGCCTGAGGGGATTTCATCCTGAGACATCCACTGGCTTAACTCAAGTTTCCTTCAAAATGAGTCGCTAAATACAGCTGTTCAGTTAATGGCTTGGAGGTTCTTTGCAGAACAAATGGAATGTTATTTATTATTATTGCTTGTGGCGTTTCAGCACTTTCGTGTTATGCCAAGTGCTTATGGGTCCATCCTCAAAGCAGCCATGGCTAAGCTGATGGTGAGGGTGAACTGAAGTAGGCCAGCAGCAGAAAAGTGCAGATGGAAGAGAACTCCAGCAACCCATTTTGAAACTCCTTTGTCCCCTTTTCTCGAATTCCCAGTGGGCAAGTCCTGGGCAGACGCTGTTTTGAGGCTCGGATCTGTGCTTGCCCAGGTCGAGACCGGAAGGCGGATGAAGACAGCATCAGAAAGCAGCAAGTCTCGGACAGCACAAAGAATGGTGATGGTACGAAGCGCCGTAAGTAGCTGTAGTGGCCAATAGGACAAGGTTGAGTCTTTTCCAGATACCGTGGATGTAGGTTAGATGGGATAGGAGATGCAGCATGGAAGCATATGAGGGCTTCAAAGACAAAGTTTGGCTCAGGGCAACAAAGCCAGTGAGAAAAGCCATTAGGACTTACAGAGATGCCAGAAGAGATTATAGTTGTGCACTATTGTGTTAGTTCCACTGAGACAGAACCCACACATAGCTGACCCTTCCAGGTTTAAAGAGGCATGGTTTTTAATCACAGAGGAGTAACTGGTAGATTCGAACCGAGTTCCTTTGGGTGGTTATACATGACATCATCATCACCTGGAGACTTGGTGGTGGTGTTGGTTGAGTACAGTCTAATTGGAACTCTCCAGTGGGTTTTCAAAGGCAATTGATCCAAGGGAGGAAATTGCCCATCCTTCTTTCATGAAAACTGGTAGTGGATTCAAACCACATGAATTCAGGATTGAAGTGCAGTTTCTTATCAGTAGGCCACCAGAACTCTCTGGAAACTTGGTAGAAATGCACATTCTTGGGCTTCAGACATACTGGATGGATGGTACTTGTGTAAAGACCTTTGTTTTTATTTTAGTAGGTCCAGCTGTGAGTTGGTTCCAATACAGAGAGGTTAAGTAGAGTAGCTGATTCTAAAGAGCCCTGGTGCATAGTACATAACACATTCGGCTACTAACAGAAAGGTGGGTTGTTCAAATCTACCACGTGCTTCGTGTGAGAAAGGTGTTGAGTGGGTTCCGAATGGTTCTGATAAAGCAACCCCTAGCATATTTCACTCCTAGCCTAAGAAAGGCTTGATGGTTGGGATCCATGGACAGCTCTGCTGGGAAAGATAGATAGGCCATCTCCTCACATTAAGTTTTATTCAGCCTTGGAAACCCAATGGAGGGAGGGGTCCCTATGAATTGGAATTCCTTCTATGGTGGTTAGGTTTTCTATTTGTGTAGGTGATTCTAGTGCTAGCTGAAGTTTGAGAACCATTACCTGAACTTATTAGTGTTAGTTTTTTACTGAGCATGAGGGCTGAAAATAGCACCTTTCTTAACTACATAAACAATGAGCTTTAAGGATGCATTTCCTAAGGCAAAGGCTGGGACATTTGCAGATATGTTTTTATCAAGTCTTAGCTTTATTTGTTTTAACACGATGCCGCACACTTTTAAATTGACAACCCGTGCTTAGAAACACATTTTTTTCAATTGTTTATGACTGCCATATGAAATGCATTAGTATTCTGATGTTCCTTTTTTTTATTAATTAAAATGTGCAGGATGGCTACAACCGTCATTTGCATAAATGTGTTAAGGGGCTCTTTGGTGATGCTAGGGAGGGCAGTTGCCAGTTACTACAGTGAGGACAAAGATTTAGGTCAGTGGGTTTTAAACTATCTTTTATTTTTAAAAGATCAAAGAAATTAGCAATGCAAACTATATATATGTGTGTGTGTATATATATATATTTTATAAAGCTGCTGCAGTTTAAGTGAATAGAAATTGGAGAGTGAGTTTTAACTCCATGCTCCACCCTAATAGGTTGTTGTTCAGAAGGCATATACTACTAAATAAGATGTTTGGTTTAGTAACGGTTGATGCACATGTGCTGTGAAATTTGATTTTTGGAAAGTATTATACTTAAATCTGGCATCACTACAAATGCTTCATGTATTCTAGATATTAACTCCTTACTTATCTTATGGGAAAGAGATTTTAGCTTATCATGAATTATTACCCAGAAGAAATAGAAATTGTATTGCAACAGAATGTTAGAACAACCATCGACTTCTAACTGCTCAGAAGGGTTTACTTTTCTTGTTAGGATCTCTATGATTATTCTTTTTAAAAAAATCCATCGTAGTTAGGCAAAGGGAGAGGGATATATAGAGAAATAAATTTCTATCCTAATTTTACCTCTGAGTCTTTTGGTGAGATATTTAACTTTTAATATCTGAACTTTGGAAGGATGATTGTTTCTATATTTTGAATTCTGGATATAGTTTTTAATTTTAAAAAGTTTAGGGATTTCTTTCCAGCTTAAAACTCTCATGTTGCCAGAGAGAAGACTATGCTTCTGAATAATGAAACTGTTTTTCAGAGGTTATGTGATGTATGGATTAGGAATGGTAAACTCATGAGGGCAAACGTACTGGCAACATGATTGCTACAAAATATATTTCCCTCCTGGAAAATGAGTGCTCAAAAATGAAATCACAAAAACAGTATAACATCTTTTCTTATAGTAGCTGTTCATAGACACACTCTGAGGAAGACATGGAGGTTTTTACAGGGCTATGTAAACAAATGGCCATTTCCCCACCTAACAATTTCTTTCATTTGTTCTTCCCTGCTTCTCCCACCCCTCATTTTTATCATTGGGTTTAAGCTTAATGTAGAAACTACCATTACTAATTAAACATATGCTTAGAACTAGCATTGATGTTACTGTCTTTTTAAATAAATATGTTACTATTTTAAAAATATTTCCAGGATAAAACTTATCTTTTTTATGATCCTGCCAGCTTTTCGTCAGAACACGCATGGCATCCAGATGACGTCTATCAAGAAGCGAAGGTCCCCAGATGATGAACTGTTGTATTTACCAGTAAGTCTCCGTGTAATATTCAATGTTGTTTCATTGCCACCTTCTCGACATGAGCTTTCCTGTATGATCTTGTTCTGATGATCTGTAACCACGGAAAGGGGAAGAGAATAGCCGTGATAAGGCAGAGTGTATTTTTGAAAAAGAAGGAAATTATCCCTTCCCTTTACAACTTCAGAATATGTCATTGATTTCCTCCATTAATCTACCAAACTGAAGTTACCCTTCTTAACAGAGTTCTTTTTACCTAGATTTTAAAATGAATTTGTAGGTTACTATTTGAGGCTGATAAATGTGTGTTATGCAGTATGAACATATCAACACCAGGCTCACATTTTGTTAGAGTTTGCAGCATAGACAGTACAGCTGTTACGAAGCATTGAGTCTGTGAAGAAGGCAGACCAAGGCAGGCTCCTCAACTGCATGCAGAGAAGCTCTGGTGTCATGGTCTGGCCTAGGGTATTGCACTGCTAACCTAAATACTGTGTCTCTTCTAGTGTGAGCTCACCAACTACCCATCAGGGGGGACAATGGGCAATTTCCTCATTTTATGTTTTACAATATTGGAAACCTATTGGAGGGTCACTGTGAGTCAGACTCAACCTACTGGTAGTGAAGTTTTTGTTTTGAGACAGAAGTTATTAATGTAAGAAAATTGTTCACTCATGCAGGAAGCATTAGACCTCCACACACCACTAAGGTGACCTTCACTGGACTATGTTCGTAGACTTTTTACTACTCCAACTCTTTGACATCCAGTGTAGCAGCAGAGTTTTTGTGACCAGCATAGTTCTTGAGTAGCCCACATGTTAGGCTGTTGATTAGAACATAAGCAATTTGAACCCACCAGCCTTTTTATGAGGAGAAGATGTGACCAACTGCTTGGGAACACTGTGACGCAAGTTCTGCTTTGTGTTGCTGGGTTGCCAGGAATCTGAACCAGTGATGGTGTTAGATTTGGTGACTGTCCTTGATGTCAGAGAGTTAGAGGAGAGCCCTGGGGGCACAGTGCTTTGCTTGCTGGGTTTGAATCCACCAAATGTTCCACAGGAATAAGAAGAAGCAGTCTCCTCCCATAAAGATTTATAACATCAGAAACCTGATGATGGTTTATCATGAACCACTATCAACTGGCTAGCAGAGCATATGGAGAGTATTTTGTGGTTTTGGGGGTGTGTGTGCTTTGTTTTGGTGCCATCCATCTAAATTGATATAAATCATAAACGGGGCTAGGGTCTGGAGATGTGACTAGAAGCCTTCACCCTGGACTTGAAACTAAGGGAATATGTCAGCATTGAGTGTACAATACCACTTCACTTAGGGTGTGTGAGCTCTGGTGGCCTCATGGTAAGAAACTGCAGTACCAAAGCATGTGGTTTGAATCTGCCAGCTTTTCTGTGGTGAAAAAGATAGGCAGTCTCTTCTCATGCAATTATCTGCTTTAGAAAACCCACCAAGTGTCAGCTATGAGTTGGTTCTGACTCAGTGGTACACAACACAACAGCCATCAACCAACAACAAATGCCATTCCTAGCAGCACAACAACCACAACAAATATATCACAATTGGATGACTTTAACAAACAGAAATTTATTCTCTTATAAGTTAGGAGGCTGTCAGCAGTTCTAAAGAAAGAACCACTCTTTCAGGTGGTTGTGAAAGAAATTCTGTTTCTCTGAGCATCTGTAGGCCTGGTGTTCTTTTGCAGTCACCAAGTGTCTGTCTTGGCCTTCCAGTATCAAGGTGCTTCCTCATGGAGGGGACTGGGTCAACAATAAGCCAATCCATTCCTGGTAATTATTTCATGGTAGGTAGTCCTGGAAAGATGAGAACACATAGAGGAAGGTGATGCCTAGCCTAATAAGTGAGATCAGGAAACATTAATCAGAGAAAGTACTATCAGAAACGTATTTTGAATGGAAGGACAAGAGTTAGCCAGCACACAGATCCACTTCATCAATTTTATTCCAACACCTCTTAATGATGGTCCACAAAAAGAGACTGCTCACCTTTACTCTACAGAGCAGCTAGTGGATTTGGACCACTGATCTTACAGTTAACAGATCTACTTGTAGTAACACAGTATGCACTCAGAACTCCTTTAACACACCAAACCTCACTGCCTTGGAATCCTATTCAAAGCAATATCCCATTATGTTGTCAAGGCTGTAGCTCTTACTCAGAGGGCATTGTCTTTCTCCTGTGGAGTGCTTGACACATTCAGAATGTGGAGACACTTGGCCTTTTGTATTTTTTAGCCAAAAATGATCCAGGCTTCTGCCACCAGAGCTCCAATAACACACAAGATGATTAATTATTTCTCATGATGCATTCGGATAAAATTGACCTCTTAACACTCAGAATGGGGACTAGACTGAGATCAGAAGTTCACAGGAACCTGTGTTTTCCCTCAGAGCAAATGGTCAGTATTTGGACATTTAGTGCTTGTACTGACTTGCAGAACTGGAGCGCAGCAGTGCTACTGCACTGGTTCATTTTCCTTTGTCCTTCCTTCTGCTCGTTTCCATAGGTGAGGGGCCGTGAGACCTACGAAATACTGTTGAAGATCAAGGAGTCGCTGGAACTCATGCAGTACCTCCCCCAGCACACGATTGAAACGTACAGACAGCAGCAACAGCAGCAGCACCAGCACTTACTTCAGAAACAGTGAGTGAGCCAATGTGTCATGATGGAAGTTGTGAACAAGGGTGGCTGCTTAATAGGGCCAGCAGTGATGAGGACTAATGAAGAAGATGATATTATGAGAGAGCAGAGCAACAGCATTTCAGATAGGCCGGTGTGGGGTGACTTTACCTATCAGCCTTTCTCCATTCTTGTGGTACCTTCATTTGAAGTTAATCCCATGCTCTGAGATTGCATCCAAACCATTTCAGGTTGAATTACAAAGAAATCTACACTAACACTGTTAATTTCCTTTCTCTCTCCCCCCTGACTTATGTACATCTACCAGTAAGAGAGTTTGGGATACTGATTCTATTCATATTATAATGGTTATATTTTCATGTATCCCACTGGACTATCTTACACATCTCCTGAAAATGGCTGTAGACTAGTCCTTGGAGAAGACCTGTTGCTTGGAAGGTTGAAGGGTCAGGCAAGGAAAAGAAGACCCTGGATGAGATGGATTGACACAGTGACTGTGGCAGCGGGGGCAGATGTATCAGAGACAGTGAGATTGGCTCAGGATAGGGAAGGGTTCAGAGCTATTATTGTTCATGGGGTTGCTGTTAGTTTTAGTTGACTCGATAGCACATAACAACAATAGCAAGTGATAGCAGATTGCATCCCATTGCCCTGTTTCAGCATCCTTGTTCTAGATTGTCTTCCAGCAAGACATTGTCTAACATAAATTGGGATAGGTTTTGCAATCATATTATAATATACCTGGTAACTTATTTAAGCCCTATCCTGATTTGTCAGATTTTTGATGATGCTGTTTCATGGCCAGCCAGAGTAGAATAGTTGGATGAAAGGAAGGGAGTTGGTGAATCAGAACTTGGGTTTGTATTTCCTCTTCTATTGGTTAAGAATACTCACTTGCTAGGCTGATTAAAATGTTGTGTTTGTGGTGAAAGTGTTCTCAAAATTTCTATAAAAGAAATGTATGCAGTGTGTGCCTATTTGAGTAATTAAAACATTTGACTAGTTAACCTTCAGGGGGGAAAAAAAGAAACCAAATTCTTTTGCTTGGGAAAAAGATTGCCTTTAAAGTAGAAATGTAAATAAGCAATAAACAATGACTCTTTTATCTCATGCTATTGACAACTATACAACCAGAATTATGGAAAGTTTAACCAAGTGTGTTCATTAGTCATTCATAAGCACAAATGTAATTGAGGAGACTTAAGTGGACCTCTCTCTGATGCTCAGGAAGTAACCTCTTCAGCATCTGTGTGTTGGCCATGGCGTAGGTGGGATACATGAGGTGCGTGCGTTAGGGAGTGTAGGGATTTTGGAGGTATGCAGGGTAGAGTGGCCAGAGGGACAGAAAAGAAGTGTCCTCTCTCTTCACAGGTTTGTAGACTAGTTGAGCATTTTAGACTTTTTACACATAATCTGAAAGTTATTGTGTACTTTTAGAAAAAAATTATGCCATGTCCTAAATGAGGCTGAACAGAAAGCTTAGTTGGATTCCCTGGTGAATTTGAATTCAGAGTTGCAGGAAGAATTGCCAGTTTTATGGACTCTGTGCTATATCAAGTAGAAACATATGTCGGTATATTCAGGTACAAAACCAATATAGTTCTCATAAAATAATACAACAGAGATCAAAGAATTGAGGAGAACTGTAACAGAATTTACAGACAAAGGGAGACCCAGAGGGGATAATATCTTTCCCAAGATTTGCATGCCAGTAAGGGATTAAGACATGCTCCCAAATTGCCTCCTGTTCACTCTGGAAAAGTTTGGTTCAGCCAAAAATCACTTCAGAAGAATTACCCATTGGTGTGTCTTGGTGACAGATATCCTCTGAAATAATCAGTTTCTTGTAATTTTTTTCCAGTTAACAGGAAAAAATTCTGTCCAACCAAATTTTGCTAGTTAAGTGGTGTGACTTACTGGAGCTGACTTTATAGGACAGGTCAAGAAATTTTTGTTCAGAAAAAGGCAATCTTCCAAATTTCTGATTTATCTAGTCTCTTATAATTGCTTAATTCTGCCATTGTGGCCATATGGTTTTTCCTTATTATTTTATTATTTTGGCTGTGTGTGCCATCAAATTGGATCTGACTGGTACAGGAAGAGATTGTCCCTCCTTCTCCAAGAGTATCTGGTGGATTCGAACCACACACCTCTGTATCCCCATTCTCTTTCTGAGAGATGTATATAAGTCAAGGGAGAGAGGTGCAGCTTTTTTCCAGTTGGCCACCAGAGCTCCCTGGAACCAGCCATATGCAACAAATAAAATGTCATTTAAAATTTAAGCTTTATTTATAGACACTGAAATTGATTTTGATATAATTTTTACAAGTTACAGTATATTGTACTTTTGATTTTTTTAAAATCTTCTAAGCTTACAGATCATACACATTGTCATTTTCCATTTTCTGTTCTAGATACATGAGTGACTTTTTTATTACTTCTTGAGTCTCTAACTAGGGTTGATCATACTTTTTGGAAATGAACATACATATTCTAAGGTACAGTGACATTAAAAGTTTTAGCTAAACCTAATGAGATTTTTCAAGTTACAATTCATTATCTAATGAAAGAGCAGCAGCTTTCAGTCATGATTTCATTGGAGAAAGTTAGACAGGCCTATGAAGACACAAAAGTATCCTGAATGGTGAAATCCAGTTTTCAGATAAAGATCAGAGAATTAATTTGATTAATGTTAACAATCAAAATGTGTTCTGTAAAAATATTTATGATAAACATGAGAAAGATGGGATTTCTGTAATTATGGATTTGACAATGGAATGTGGATTTCAACCAGGAAACTTTTTCAGTTATAATAATATTCTAGAATTTTGTTCTAAGCATGGTATAAGTGAATAGGAGGAATTTTAAGAGCATCTGTAGATTATAAAGGGGATAGTTTATTTAGTGTCATTATTTTAGAGCTTTACAAACCAACATGTTCAACATCAATTAGTTGGGGCCATATGATATTTGCACTTGTTTAAATGGCATATGTAGAAATAGATAGCCTAATGTTATTTTTTTTTAATGACTTATCTTGCTTACTGTCTGATTGGTTGGTATTATTCTAAAGGGAAAATTTTAACAATCTAGATTTCAAAAAGTAATAATTTCATGGAAGGAGAAAAAGAATATTAAAATTGCAGTATTTTCAAAAGTACAAAAGAATTTCGGGACATATTATATGTTGATAGTGAGGAATTAAGAGCTGGATTAATAACCTTATCATTTCCTGATGTTTTCATTAAAAAGTGTCATATGCTTGTTACTATGTTACAATGGTTGAGAGCTTTTAGCTGTAGGTGCTTGTGCATGGAAATCTAACAGACTGCAAAATGAAATTTTCAATGAAGTTAGACAATTGATCTAATTATGCCTTTGTAACATCATATATGCATGGATCCTCAAGGATTATTGTATAATTACATAAATTCTCTAGTTATGGTGTTCTTCAGCTAAGATTTTTTCAGTCTTTTCTTTTTTGCCAATCTTCAAGAAAGAGCATGAATGACTAGACAAAGAAAAAATGAAAATCTACTTGCATGGCAATCATCAATGTGGAAAACACATATGTTTGTGATTTCCTTTCCAAAACTCTAGAGCCTATAATATAATGGTAAGGAATCAGCTTTGTACTTTTCTTTATAATAGAGGGAAATTATTAGGAAGTAAAAACACTTTCTACAAAGTAACAGTATTTTTAGTTCAATTATTTTTGTAGTTTTTCACCGCATGGTTTTCCTCTGCTGTTCATTTATGCATGGATTTCTTTTTTTTTAAAACTTTTCCTTCACTATTACCTTCATGATCATAGTTTTTATGGACCTGATTTTACATTGCATTACTGTGTATCAAATTGTTAATGGATACAAGTGTACTTTGTATTGTTGTTATGTGCCATCGAGTCGTTTGTGACTCATAGTGACCCTATGTACAGGAGCCCTAAATGCCGTTCTAACCTGTGCCAACCTCCCTGTCTCAGACACATTCATTCCTACCACTCCCAGAATCGATCCATCTCATCGAGGGTCTTCCTCTCCTGCACTGTCCCTCCACTCTCCCAATCATGATGTCCCTCTCCAAGGACCAGTCCCTCCTTGCGACATGCCCAAAGTATGTCAGACGAAGCTTCAGAATCCTTGACTTCAGGGAACATTCTGGCTTCACCCTCTCTAGGACAAACCTGTTTGTTCTCCTAACCATCCATGGTATAGTCAACACTCTTCTCCAGCACCACAACTCAAAGGCATCAATTCTCTTTCTATCAACCCTATTCACTGTTCAACTCTCCGATGTTTAGTGAATGAAGAAATCTTTTTTAGTTGATCAGTCCACATTCATATAAATGGAGCATCATGTCTCTGGATGTTAGATCTGAAAAGATGCCATTCTTTCCCTTCATTTTTTAAGGGGTATTAGCTCTTAAGATAGTTTCGTAAGAAAAAAATTTAAAAAATCACTAAATAGTAAGGTTTTGACTTACATACGTCTAACCAGTATTCTTTCTTTTTCATCTTTTCTGAAGTTTCCCCTGCTTCTTAGTGTCTATCATTGCCTCAGGTCAGCGTCATCGTGTTAAAATGTCAGTTAGCCCAAGTCTTGCTTGCCTCTGACAACAATTTTTATGTTCCTACAGGGCAAATTTCATTTTAATTTTAATACATATCTTTGACATTTTGAGGTATCCTTTGTCTTTCCTTCTGTTGTTTTATCACTGGATAATTATGAATCACTAATTATGCAAACCAAATAATAGTGGAATTTTGCAATAGGATGGCATATTCAAGATTATGTCCTGTTCCAGCACCTTCACCATCTAGCTGAGAACTCTGAGTCAGTGAACTACACCAGTGATTTCATAGACAGTTTGTAGTAAAGTCAGGACAAGATTTAGAAGAGAAGTTTATGGTTTAATTTCTTAAGAGAGGAATAATAAATCTAATCCGAACATCTATTCCCATTATTCTCTCTCTCGTGTCATTCAACTAGCAGAATCGCTATGA